AACCACAAAAACCTCGGGAGTTTCGGTTTCCTTTGGCTTTCCCTTAAATTCATTTAAACGAGAGCCGGAGGAGACCCCAGATTTGGCTCCACACAATCTTCAGCCGTCTCTCTCTCGCTATATTTATCCTACGGGTGGTTTTCAACATCACCAGCTGGGCCAATGAAAAGTGAGTCTTTTGGTGGGGTGGATAGATTCTTCGAGGCCTGATCTTGGCGAGTGGCTAAGGATACCGGCAGGTCCTCTGAGCGCAAGAGCCGGTGCTGTCGCGCATCTCTGGCCTCAGCAAAGGAACATGGGCCATTTTTTGGAGGGTGGCAATTGGTTGGAAGGGACATCAAGAAGAACCCCACCATTTTGAGGGATCGAAAAGACACATTTCTTAGGTTTCTCAAAACTTGAGCCCCTGACAATAGGTTGCTTCCTTAGGTTTCCCTAGAAACCTCCATATTTGCTAAGGGGAACACTTTTGGATCCTTTGATTCAACTGGTGAAGCTTTGGTCATCAAACACGGAACCTTTAACTCCATCGCGCAACCTTGGGCTCAAACCATGTCATGGTTCCCCAGGTGTGTCTCAAAAACACTGAACCAGGGACCCTCTAAAAAGGATTTCGGTGTCCATTTCGTTTTCCGCAAACCACCCCAAGCTGGTGCCCTCAAGAAACGACACACCCACATTTGTTTGACGATGTGTGAGCCACAGGTTCCAAGATTTACTTTTGGTTCTTTTATAAGGTCGGGCTCGTGCCCTGGCTTTGGTGATTGAAATTGAATCAGTCCCCAGAACACTGGATTAGGAATAAGTGGGGAGCAACGTGCATTGCGGCACGACTTCAAAGAAGGACTTCAAAAAAGAAGGGTCAGGACATTTCTATCTCGAACACCGGGCATGCAAGATGGAGACTCATTGAATGGCAACATGAATGAATTACCCTCAATTTGCTCAATTGCTCGTGACAACCTGACAGGGGCCACTTTGCTCCTCCGTGAAAGACAGCTTGGGACTGTCAAAACATGCGAAGCCTTGTTTGGTGTCAAGCCAACCGAAAGTCGACCTGGGGGATTCCCGCATGAGAACCATCCAGGGTATCATGCTTGGAAACTTCAGGACTCCAGGCAGGCAGTTGGTTTTCCTGTTGGCTTCCCTCGAAAGCCAAGCAGGGCTCCCCCATTTGGCTGGCTTGTGGTTTGTTGAGGGTACCCATTTCGGGATTGGCTTCAGGGGCATCTTTTGAGGACACCTACAATTTCGGAGGGTCGAACCTTCAAGGAGAGACATCCATTTTGAGCAACATCTCGCATTTTGAGAAAACATCTAGCTTGGGTTTCAAGGGGCAGCTGGATGTAGATGGCGTCACGCGACAGACCGTCGCGTACAAATAAGAGCCTCTTTGAGACCCGACATATCGGCAACTTGTGGATGTCTCTCTCACATTTTGGACCCCCAGACACTTGGTTTCCGTTCTCCCCAAAAGGCTCAGCCACCCCGCCTGGGCACAGATCAGCAAGGCCCATATCCTCTCGGCCCAGTTTCTGGGGTTCCGAAGTCTCGGCAACCCTTGGGTCGCGGGCGCCCAGATTTCGGTGTGGCGAGTTATTCTACCGCACCCGGACAACTTGCAGCTTGTTTTTAAGGGCTTTGTACCTGTTCGGAGGCGGTTGACAGGGAAACCAAGTGGACACCAAAACTCATTTCGGAGATTCCATATCCCATTTGGAGACATTAGTAGTTGTACGACACCCATTCTGTCCAAGGACGCTTCTTGTTCAATTTGAACATGGCCAACGATGTGCTTTCTGGGTTTCCCAAAAAGTAGAGTAAAACATGAAGGGATCAACGACAGGCCTACAACTGGCGCCAGTATGTTGCCATTGCCAAGGTTTCCCAGCTTTATCTCTGACTAAGCCTCAGGAATGGCTCCCGAACCTGCTGGATGGCAGCAGCTTGGACCAGGGTGTACTAAAAATGGCTACACCTGCATCAGCATAAGCATAGGATAAGCCTAGCATAAGCAGCTTGACTGGGCCATGTTAAGTGCCTTGTGTCTCTTGGGGTGTCCCACTCCATTCGGTCCTTATCATCTTGTCCCAGCGCGCATCCGCCGGGAGCTGTCACCAACCAACTGGAGAGTTGAGGGCTGATCTGATCCAAACAAATATTCACCCTCACACGCAGTGGACCTAGGCCAGGGATCCTCATGTGGTTTTACCGCGAACCTATGGTCCCATTGACATGAAACCGCAAGGCATCAGCCCGCGGGCGAGCCAGTGAAATCAAACGACGCCTTGAGCCACTAGGCTAGCGAGCGAGCCAAGCTCTAGGATTCACGGAAATCCCAACTTTACCCCTCAAGGGACACGCTGCCAAGAGATGCTCTTAGTCAGGCCTTGGCAAGGGGTTGTTCCACCAGCCTTAGAAACGTCATCTGTCCGAACCCCAAGTAGGGGTCTGCCTAAACATGGCACATATCGGTGTCATTTTTTGGTGGACCCCCCCAAAATGGCTTCCATTTTCCTCTTGGTTTCCCTTCAAAACCACCAACAAAGGTGGGGGCTCGGGGGGAGGGGGTCCCGGGGTACCCACCCATTTGGCTGGGTGAAACATTGGGTTGGGTTACCCTGATAAATGGACACATGGGCTAAAAACCCTTTGGTCCTCCGGTGGTTCAATATTGACCCACACCCTGATGTGCGCGTGTCCTTGCTTGGTGAACCCCCCAAAATGGATTCCGTTTTCCTCTTGGTTTCCCTTCGAAACCATCACACAGCGGGGTGCCCGCCAAACAAAAGACGGACCCATTTTGTAGTTCGCCAACCGCGCCACGGCTTTATCTCCGCGCCACCTTCAGGCTCTCTCGAAAGGCCCTAGGAACTCGCCCTTGGTGGTGCCAATCGCCTGCAGGCGGTCGTTGTCCTCACACGCCCGCGCCCAAGGACGAGAACTGGAAAGCAGGCACAGTGCCTTCGGAGGAAAAGACACGCACAAGGGATATCGAACAAACACCACATTTGTTTTTCTTATTGGATTCCCAAGCAGCCATTTCCAATCCAAGTACTTTCTGAGATAGGTTGACCCAAAGGGCCACCAGAATGAAGGACCGAGCTTCTTCCAGCATGGTTGACAATGCAAACTCAGTGATACCGAAGTACTTGATCCAAAAGACTTATGACTATCTCACCCTTGGCCATTCGCAGGTGGTGGTCCTAAAACCCTATGTTCCCGCTATGTCTTCCAGGAACCGACTGGAAGCTGCCGCAAGAAATCCGATGGCTGTCCTGCTTCGTTGCAACCAGCTTCACCTCAGGCCGACTGGAGACTGAACTGCAGCTGCAGTCATTTGATGGCTTCCGTAGTGTCTGAACATAATATGGTAACTGGGTGCCCAATAGGGCGTCTGGAAACATGCACCATTTTGTATCTGTTGTGGGTAACCTACACTTACCCCTTAAAACTCCCTGCGCCCTGGGGAAGTTAATCTTTTACAAACATGCAGCCCATGTTACCCCAAAAAAGTTGAAAAGTTGTGCTTTGAAGAGGTAACCCACACGATCTCACAACTTTGCACCTTCCGATCCTTTTCCATGGGCTTGCAGTGAGGAAGGGCCGGCTTTAGCACAAGTCCGATTTCAACATGCCCTCTTCAAAACGGCGGGGTGGGTCACCGAAAAGGGCGCGCAGTCTGAAGCAACTACGAAAGCTCACCCACCAGATCCAAGAGGGACCTTCATGTGTGAGCTCGTTTTGCCAGGTGAGCGCCCAAAACTCATTGACCTTTGGTTCTACCAACATGGTTGGAAAAGGCTTATATGTTAGCTTTACCATATTCCCCTTGTGAGAACAACTTTATTTCCAGATGAATATCCCAATGTCGACAGATCTCCCCTCCATGGAACCTGGTCGTGTGCTTGGAAGCAATAGCCCCTTGGCTTGATTATTGGTGACAGAACATGCCCAAAACATATTACAAAACATGGGATTTCCAGGGTAACCCGCTGGTTAAATGTGGGTGTCTTTTTTTTTGAGGAAGTTCGGACTTGTTACAAGTGCTGCTTGAGCCATATCTTGGGTGCTACTCAGGTGAGCTTGCTGGAGCTCTCCAAGGCGCGGGCTCGCACGGCTGAGTCCTAGGCTGAAGAAAAAAACAACAAGAGCTCAAGACACGAAACGCAGAACCCGAAGCGACCAACGAATAGCGAACCAATCAAAGCTCAAGCAAACACTCCCCAGATGGCCTTTGTTTTTGAGGGCTACTCGGACCCTTAGGGAACAAAATGCGACCACCCAGCAATTAGCGCCAAGAAGATCAAAGCTGAGAGGCAAACGCAGCCATCCGAGGTCAAATGTAGGATGGTTTCCACCCCAAACCACCATATAACCCTCAACCGTTGCATCAAGGTCATATTTCACCTGATGGGGCGGGGGAGGAAACTGCCCAAGCAACCTATCCTCAACATCCTGTAGACATACAACATCCTGAGCCAGTTGGGATGGAAGCAGCCCCATTGCTGGGATAGCCACCAATCCGAACTGTCGCGAAGTGAACTTTGTCGAACCTGAATCTCTGCCGAGCCTCCCTTCGAATCGTGGCCGACCCATCTGGGGACACCTGGTCGGCTCGCTCACGCGCGGAGCTTGGGGCTGACATGGGGCTGACCAGCTTTGGCGGGTCCCGAAGAAAGAAAAAAGAAAGGGAGGTAGAGGGAAGCCACAGAACATCTGAGCTGTGCTGGGTTGTGCAAAGCGGCGGGGGGCCCCGAGTACTACTCCAGGGTCCATAGGACACCACAAGGCAAATTACTGCCCAACCACCGGGCTAGTAGGATCTCAGACCCAACCAATCTCGGCAGTCTCTCGTACCAAATCTAGCCCGATCCGTTGCCTTAGGGGGGGAATTGAAAGGCCCCCACTCCTTCTAAGAAGGTTCTTAGAACCTTCTGATCAAACAGATTCTTAAAAAGGCTTCTGGTGGATAGGCGGGGGAATGATTAGAGCGCGCACATAACAGTTGAGTCGAAATCAACACCTCATATGGCCTACCCAGAAACATGTAAAGAACCAAAAGGGCGGCCGCACCTATTCATGGTTAGGACTGTCCTATTGCTCCCCTTCACTTGGCCCCTTTATCGATTTTTGTGGCTCAATTGGTCTCTCCTTTCTGTCCAAGCTCCCGGCGAAGCTGGCAGCTCCGCTGACCTCCACCTCACGACTGACCATAGGAGTTGCAACCCACGGAACGGGGAAGTACCGCCAGAAAAACTTGGGTCATGACCATGGTCACCATACCACTTTCCTGCCACACCTTTAAAGTGGCCCATCGCCCAGCACCTTTTGGTTCACAGACCTGTGGCTATGGGAGACCCAAGCACCACTTTTTGTTGCCGTGCTTGCCTTTGGGGGTTAGTGCAGGTCTGGGATCATGTTTGGGCCCGCAACCTTTTGATGATACAAAGTGTGCGCCACAGCCCATAGATTTTGGTGAGAAAAGTAGCTGCTGCAGTTCGTCTAATTTGGCGAGTGTGACCAGTACATGACAAGTCCACGCGACGTGCGATGTCAACTTTCCCTTTGTCTGGAGGACCATTCCTTGGTCCGGAGTTGGTCTTTGAAATGCAACTCGGCAAACATGAATACAAACAAGGCAGCAGCCAGGCTGCCAAAATAACACCCCCACCCCACAATATATCTGACAAACAAGATAAACACATAGCTACGTGAAATTAGGTTAACATAAAACAAGGATAAAGACATACTTTTTTTGCACAAAATCACAGATGCTGGTCTTCCTTTTGATGTCCCCTCAAAGCCCCAAGACGGTACCCTCAAAACAAACACACACACACAGCCACGCAGAGCCACACAGAGACACACACACAGACACAAAGACACACAGACACACCACACACACAGACACACACACACAGACACAGACACACAAACACACACACACAGACACACACACACAGACACACACACACACAGACATACAGCCATGCACACACACACACACAGACACACAGACACACACACACACAGACACACAGACACACACACACACACAGACACACACACACACACAGACACACACACACACACAGACACACACACACACAAACAAACACACACACACATACACACACACAGACACACACACACAGACACACACGCAGACACACGCACACACAGACACACACACACACACAGACACACACACACAGACACAGACACACACACACACAGACACACACACAGACACACAAACACACACACACAGACACACACACACACAGACACACACACACACGGACACACACAAACACACAGGGACACACACACACGGACACACACACACACACAGACACACCCACACAGACACACCCACACAGACTCGCAAACACACGCACACGCACACGCACACGCACACGCACACGGACACGCACACGCACACGCACACGTACACGCGCACACGCGCAAGCGCACGCGCACGCGCACGCGCACGAGCACGAGCACGCGCACGCACACGCACACGCACACGCACACGCACACGCAAACACACACACACACACACCCACACCCACACCCACACCCACCCACACACACCCACAGCCACAGCCACACCCGCACGCGCACGCGCACGCGCACGCGCACGCGCCCGCGCGCCCGCACGCACACGCACACGCGCACGCACACGCAGACACACAAACATATACACAGAAACACACACACAGACACACACACACACAGAGACGAAAAGACACAGACACACACACACACACACACACGCACGCAGACACACACACACACGGACACACACACACACACACACACACACACACACACACACACACACACACACACACACACACACACACACACACACGCACGCACACACACACGCACGCACACACACACACACACACACACCCACGCACCCACGCACGCACGCACGCACGCACGCACGCACGCACGCACGCACGCACGCACGCACGCACGCACGCACGCACGCACGCACGCACGCAGACAGACACAAAGACACACAGACACACACAAAGACACACGGACACACACACACAGACAAGCACATGGACACACAGACACACACACACACACGGACACACGCACACACACACCGACACACACACACACGGACACACACACACACAGGGGCACACACACACACAGACACACACACACAGACACAGACACACACACACAGACACACAGACACACACACCCACACACACACACGGACACACACACACACACACGCACGCACACAGACACACAGACACACAGACACACAGACACACAGACACACAGACACACAGACACACACGGACACACACACACACAGACGGACACGGACACGCACAGACACACACACACACAAACAAACACGGACAGACACACACATACACACAGACACACAGACACACAGACACGCAGACACACAGACACACACACACACAGAGACACACACACACACAGAGCCACACACACACATAGACACACGCGGACAGACACACATACACAGAGACACAGAGACACAGAGACACACAGACACACAGACACACACACACACAGACAAACAAACACACACACATACACATACACACACACAACACACACACAAACAGCAGACACATCACACACACAAACAAACACACCACACGCACCCAGCCGTGTGTTTCAATCCGTGCCTCGGAGTAGCTCCAGCCTTCCGGCACCAGAGTCTTGGACACGAAGATGCGAGCGGGGCCCACCTGGCGATGTGAACCTGTTGCCATGCTATGAGCCGCACACAACGCCATTAGAACGTGAGGTTTGCTTTTTGGGTGGCTCGTTTTTTGTGTGAAGGTACCCGACCTTTTGGTTGGGCTTTAGAGGAAAATAGAAGGACAACCATTTATTTTGTGGTTCACACAGGCACATCCATGCGTTACTCACCAAAATTCCATGTTGGGGGGCACGGCGAATCTGCACATTTTGCAACGGCCTGGACGTGTGGTTGTTTGAGGCTCGGGGCTTCGTACCTGTTTCAAGATGGGTCTAACGGGAAAGAGAAGGACCGTCGTGTTGAGGTCGATTTGGACGTATACCCATCTGACCATCTTTACAAGTCCAACACCACATGGTTTCCAACCCCCCTGAGAAGTTGGGCACGGCTTCCCGTTTAGGCCCGTAGAAAAGAATTGGGGAAGCACGCATTCGACGATTCCCTAACGCCTTCCAAAGGAATCTCAAATCAATTTGTCCCAAGAGATGCTCCTAGTTCCCAGTGTCGCGTTTTTGTTTTGTTTCACGTGACAAGGGGTTTCCCACCCAGGTTCAGAGCGTGCCACTCAACCGGATGTGCTCAACCACACGGAGCCCGAGCGGACCAGCCGATTTGTGGAAACTCTTGCCTCATGTATGACTTTTCAAATGCGGGCGTGCCGAAGGTCGATGGCTCCTCTCTAATCCGCTCCCCCAATTAATGAATGACCCCAATTAATAATAAATGCAAATCCGGGGCCCGGGACCAGATTTCCTCTCCACACAATTGATTTTCCATTGCGCCAGTACTAAACCAATACTAACGTCTTGGAATCCTTATTAGGGGGCACTTTTGGCAAGCTTCCAGCCTCACTTTTCAACAGGTGGGTTCCTCAATTCCCCAAAAGGTTGCTTTCCCAAAAGCTGGCTTCTCAAAAGGTTGGGTTCTTTTGGTGGGTTCCCAAAAAGGTTGTTCTTGACTCTGTTGTCCCTGGCTCCCTGACTCCCTGGCTGGCTGCGTTTGTCACCTGGCTGCGTTTGTCACCTGGATGCATCAAATTTCCTTATTGAACCGCTTACTCACGGACCTTACAATTCAATCCATTTCATCCAAATCCTACGTGAACCCTCACATTGTTGGAAAAGCAAAAAAATCCAACCCCAAAAACCCCAATTAAAAACATATATATACTTTTGGGGGGATTTATTTATAATAGGGGGGGGGGCGTATTTATTAATAGGGGGAAGAGATTATTTTCGATGTATTCCTCACTTCCTGAGTGGATCTGCAGAACAAGCCTTTGTTTTGTTTACCGACAAGCAAGTCTTCTGAAAAGGTCCAAAGTCCAGAAACTGAGCAGCGCCCAAAGCTGACTTTTGGTTAGGATGGGTGCAATGGTTTTCTTTAGGCCACCTTTATGAAGCCAGGTAGCCAGGACTGTTCCGGTACCAGCTATGGCCCGTCAGATTTTTGATCGCTACAAGGCCGCATGGCGGCCTCACAGAAGAAGCCTAGCTTGTTGACCTCCGTGACCTCTGCGTCTAGCACCTGCCAAAGAGCGCAGCTTTCTTTTTCCACTTAGGGGTGACTGTGACCAAAAACAAACACCAAGGAATGGTAGAGATGCCAAGGGACGTGGAAAAAAACACCCCGCCCAAAACGTCACAAGGGATGGCATTGTTTTGTGTGTTTCAGGCCGATTCTGGCCCTCAGTGAGGCTGCCCGGCAAGGCGCCTCATTCTTGAAGAGGTTCAGCACCAAGGCCTTGTATCTCATCGGCACCATGATGAGGCCAGTGCCTGCCAAGTTGCCAAGTGCTGCCCGAAGCATGGAAGACTTTATGAGGTTTTGTTTCGAGGATAGAAAAAGGGGCCAACAAATGAAACGCACATCCCAGGTAGTGTAGATAGTGTCTTGTTGAGGCCTGGTGCCTGCCCTGTCAGACATATGCCCTCTCCTTAGCCGTGAGCCTTTTCGTCCCCGCCTTCATGCAGCTTGCCCTTATCGATGGCCCTCAGTTGGCGGTCGTGCGCAGCTTATGGGACCCACCAAATGGGTATTCTCCATCAGCTACCCAAAAGACACACCCGTAGCCCTGATCTTTTGCAGTGGAATGCCTTCAAATTCCCGTTGCGAGCTTGGCGGTAAGCAAACCAAAGTGAATCTGTGAATCTCAAGCGAGCTCCTCGGCTACCAACCACATAGGCCACCAAACTGTGGAGTGACCGAAGAACCGCATCCCCTTTTGTTGTCCGAGAGAAGTGAAGAAATCTGGCTGCTCAGCACGCAAACCCTTGGATCAGTCCGTCCCTGTCCCCTGGTCGCCGCCAAACACCTGAATAAGGTCTCAACAGGGTCTTTTTTTGGGGAAACCCGCAAGGGGGGGGGGTTCTGAACCCTACAAAATGTAGCCAGAGCATCCCAGCGAAGTCTCACCTGCCGCTTCACCTTGACCAATGGGGCCGAACAGGACACAGCGAGGTCAAAGGTCGAAAGGCCTCTTCGCCAGGGGAAAATACCCATCGCTTTTGGTTCGCTTTGGGGACCATTCAAACAAAATGGGGCGCTATTGAGCACTTAGCGTTCAGCCTCAGCCTCCTGGAAAGAGTGCCCAAACTTCAAAGCCTCCCTTTCGATGCGTACCCTTCTCTTTGCAACATGGATTCCCGAGAAAAGGGTTCACAAATCCGATCTCACCTTCCCTACTTCATACAATCGACATGGATGCCCAACTCCCCCCATGCGTTTGCCCAAAAGGGCAACTAGTGAAAAACCGTTCATCGTATAACCTGAAGCAAAATTCCTGGCTCGTCTGTTTTTGAGGCTCCGTCCCGCTTTCGGTATTGTCGTCCAAGGGACACCCATCGGAAAACCTCCCAAATTTCGGCGGTTCCCCCAAACTGGCCCTGCTTGTTTTCTAGGAATCGGACCCCCCCAGACTGGCGCAACATGTTGCTTTTTCCTCCTGGTTTCCCTTTCAAACCGACCATCCAACAAGGGGGGGAACAAAACGAGCCGCACAAAAACAAAAGACGCGAGTGGGTTCGCTTCACTTCCTTCGGAATTCGCCCCTTTTTCTCTCCGTCCAAAGTACTCGCACTCCGCCACCGTGATGACCAAGCCGGCTTTGTCCTGCACGGTGCCCTCCACCTGCCGAAATCCAAAGGAAGGGTATAGCTGGCCTTGGATTTCAGGTGCCCCCCACCCCCTCTCACCCTGGAGCCTGGACTGTCGGCTCAAAACTCCACCTTTGGCATGGAAAGCCTACGCGGCCATGTCGCGTTTTTTTTCCCGCGGAAGCTTCCGGCTGGACTAGCAGCCTGCAGGGAAGTGGCCCTGTGTTGTGGACACAAACATCACGGCCTGAGCTGGCCTCCGGTAGGCTTCGCGGCCCATGAGGCTGCCTTTTGATTTTTTTCTTGGTTTTTTCTTGTCACAAGGACAACCATATTGAGGGGCGTTTTCCAAACACACACACATACATACAAGTATTTAGCAACAGTTGGCAAAGCTTTGAAATGCTGAACCCACGTGGGCAGTTCCTAACAAACAGCCGTAAAGTGTTGAGATGCTGAAATCAGGGGGAGGGCTTTGCCGCATTGAAAGGAAACCACACATTTTCTGGGGCCGCCTGTTGGGGCAAACCACCCACACCACCTTTTGGGATTTTGGGATTGCAGAAGTCCGTAGTGGTCTTTGACCCTGCAAAGGGTCAAACTTGTTGCTAGTGGGGGGGGGACTGTCATGTTTAAAAGGACGGGGGGGACCAAAGACCATTCGTGACTGGTATAGCTATGCCTTCCAATCCCAAAGAAGTTAGAAACGCATCTTCTGTCACTTGAGCTTTGTAATCAGAACATCTCTGTGCCTGTATTTCCAAATATCCTGCCAAAGGTCATGGTTTGCTAAGGAATCCAGCTGAACTAACATTTCTCCATCCCTTGCAAACATACTTGGCATCAACTGCAACCTTGATCCCATTTACAGTGGCCTGAATTAAAGCCAGAAAGGCTCTAGCTTCAGCACGAGGCACAATGTGGTGCCTAGCAGTGCCTGTCAACATGCCAGATATAGAAGCCACAACCTGCCACTGGCAATCCAAGGCAACAACACTCCAAGCACATCTCCTCAGCCTGGGGTCATTGGAATGTGGCCCACCACTTCCATCTGTACCAAACCAGTAATTGTCTCCATCAACTTCTGGCCGTGTAAATGCCCCTGTAACCTGAATTTCCTCCTCCGGCAACGCTTGCTGTGTCCAATGCATAGGTACCAGGCCTCTCAGCCAAAAATGTCTTTGCTCAACAAAGGGCCACCAAACTGCTGGTACTGGTCCATGTTCTGCAATGATCCACTCACATCCATACAGAATATGCTGCAAAGTGAAGGCCACACTTAGGGCAATTCTTGTGAGCACTGTTACCCTCATGCTGTAATGCTCCTTGCCACAGGCATGTGCACCAAAAGTAGACGAAAAAGTGAAAACCAAAAGGGTGATCTGAATTAAAAGACATCCTGCCTAGCCGTGAAAGGAACCTTGACGATACAATGCGGCCGGAGGTTGCAACGCAATCTTTTGTGGGGTCCCGAAAAGTGTTCCATAGTTGCCGCAAGTGCTTACTGCTTGAATTAGTTTGAGGTTCTTACCATGGTTTCTTCATGGGTTCATGTATGGCTTCTGTTTGAAGATACCCTCTGCGGTTGATCTTCAGGGAAACCGGACTCGTTTTCGGCCTGACCCCATTTCTGGGACCTCTGATGTCATTGCTCATAAGGTTGAGAACATGCGGTCAGCAATCTGCTGCATATTGGAAACCCACATTCAGCCTTTGAACAGTGAGCCTTCGAGCCCGTGAACCAGTTTTGCCACTTTGCTCAGTGGGGAACTCTTGGGTGCATTTTCTGCTTCCTTTCTGCGAAGTGGGAAATATGTTGGGCATGTTCTGCTTCCTTTGTGCACGCATGAAACTAACGCGGGAGAATTGAAGCCGCCCCCTCCAGCCTTCTGCCTCAGCTGGTCCTGCAGGTGCTCATGATAGCCCGGCCCGCAGTGTTCCGGCTTCACCTCACAGCCAAGCGCCATGCGCGCGGGGAAAAAACAACAACAACAAAAACAAAAACACGTGAACTGGAGTTCTTGGAAAAGTGACAAAGGTTTAAATGTGGGTTTGTACTGTTCTGAGGGTATCCTTGTTGGGGTTGTTCAAAGGGATGATAAAGGTTTATATGGGTTTGTACTGTTCTGAGGGTACTCTTGTTGGGGTTGTTCAAAGGGAACCAAAAGGGGAACTAACCTTCTTACATTGGGGGAAGGAAGGTTTCAAATCAAAGGTTCAAGTGTGGTACCCAGGACATACTCCTCCGAGATGTTTCAGGGTCTTTGGAGGAATTAGCCTTATAAGGAGGGCTACAGGAGGGGGCGCACATTTGGTTGTGGTGCCTTAAGGCCTCGACTATGCAACCCTTGCATAAACATCTTCTACTCGAGCGGGTTGTTGGTTCGTGATCCAAGAGGATAGCAGTTGACGTCGGGGCTTCGCCATGGCCACGGCTATGGCCACGGCTATGGCCCCACCCAGGTTAACATAGTCTCAGTTTTGGCACTCGCGAGAACCCTCGCCCTCCTGCAGATTTACATGGAATCCCAGAAAACATGGCTCCTGGAGCCCGCCCCCCCCCCCCCGCATTTGGTGTCATCACCCCTTCCCGGGTTCCATGACCCTTCATTGCACGTGGGCCTGCAGGTGTGGAAGGGCGGAGGCTTCAGCATATGCGTAGGCACAGTATGTGCGCAAAGTTGGGATTCTTCACCCAAGGGAGAATTACCCCCCTCGTCATAAACTTGGGTTGATTAATCCGAGGCTAGAACTGGTCTTCCCAAAAACGATTCTGCAAAAGCTCAGCGAGTGAGTTCCCCAGAATCGGCTATGGTCATTTCGACCTTGGCATTGTGCCCAGTACTCCGGCGAAGCACCCACGTTACGAAGCTCAGGGCACCACCAGCAAATAATTGTAGAGCTCCAAATAGAAGAACATCACCTCAGCTCGCTTGTCATCTCTTGATGTCGGGTTGGACGTTTATTCCAAAACGAGTCACTGCAACCAGCTAATGAACGCATACTTCCTTTTTTGGTCCCTACTGAAACGCTCCTTGATTCTTCTTGGGGGCTTGTAAGACGCCAAGGTCTTGATGTCAGCCGTAGAGTGCTGCCATTGCACAGCCTTCCCTGCGAAAACACTTGCCACACACACACACACAATACTTCAGCTGGAAACCATGAGGGCGCCCCTGGTTATACCTTAACTATTTACATTTTGCCCAGTGAGGGACACATGTAGACAACGGGCACCTGCGACAATGCGGCGGCAATATCATGAACGCAAAGGGCTACGAATTGATCAACCCTATGGCTTGCTGTCACTTGCCCTGCCTAAGCGTCATTTCCATCGGCAGCCGCCAAACCACAAGAAGAAACTGCCAAGAAACGGAAGTGCTCACTGCACTTGACTCCCTTCGTGTTCTTGTGCGAATCAGCTGCTTGCAGGATCAGAGACTTTTTAAGGTGGCCCCATTCTCGGGATGTGTTGCGTTTCGCAGTGTCGCCCCGTGACTTCTTTCCATCTCTCTCTCCCTCTCCGCCTTGAGGACGCCAGAAAGGAAGCGCGGCTCCCATGGAGCGGTTGTGGAAAATAACCCTCGTGATGCCAACGTGGTTGATTCCCCGTGACTACTTCCTCACTTTAAAGGAGGACAGACCATTTTATCACTTTCATGGGGGATGCTTTATGATAATTCCTTTGTCTCATTTGATGTATTGAATTCTTCTAATATGAACGATGTGTGGCAAAAGCATATAATTCACTCTGTATTAGATTGTAAATTCACGATTGTGGTTCAAGGAACCACTGTTGTAACCCCCTACTTGCTGAGTGGATGGCCCAAAAAAAGTCCAAACTTTATATTTACCACTAAAATGGTCTTCCCAAAAAGTTTAAAGTTCATGAACTCAGGAAGTGAGACCCAGTCTTTTTGGTGCTGTTGCCATATGTGTCTTTAGAGTCTAGAGGCTGATTCCCTTGAAACTGGTCCTAGCCAATGCCTGTCCGAGTGTGGGAGCTGATCCCTCCAGAGAAGAATCATTGGGCCACAAGAGCAACGCCTCAGGAGGGTATGATCTTTCCCTGAGGACGGTGCTCCAACCATGGCTGAACAATAGCCATAGCCATGTGAGAGTCGATGGACCCGTGTAGAATACAATGCATGCCCAAGAAGTTGACCGTGCAGCTTCTTCGGATGCGACACCTTGGGACAAACTTGGAGAGCCAAACCGATGATAGGAAAAACACACAACTTTGTGCGGGGGAGTAATTCATATTGGGGATGCCTCGGAGCGCAGTCCTCAAATCAATCCGAAGCTGGCATTCCAGAATCTGGTGTCAAACATCTCTGGTCTCAAGCCTGGGTTCTTCGAAGTGCCCGTTTTCAGGAGTTCTTCAGGTAGCCACCATTTAGAGGGTAATATGTTCAGGATGTCTTAATGGACTCAGAAGCCATAGGGCATCAAGGACTGGATCCTGACAGCGAATTCGCCACACTTCTTCGCGCATCGCGTGAAAGAAGCCCGCCAGCCTCGAGCTGAAGCAGGGCCAAGTTTGGGAATTACACATGCAGTCTGTGCATGTCTCACTTCAGTAGATTGGTAAGAAAGAGTCCAAGGATTGTGTTAAAGAGCCCTTAAACAAGGAATTCACCCAAACGTCCAACGTCCATAAACTGGGGAAGTGAGGATTACACATGCATTCTGTGCATGAATTCGGATTCGGGATTTCAAGCCTGCGGTGGCCATGCCAAAATGTTCTACTGGCTCCGACTGAGCTGCGCACCTCGCAGAGTTCCTACCCAAATTTGTCACCGGACACAACCAAAATCCCTGCCTCCAATAGCAAACCTCACCTCACCGATTGTCGCTTGACCCCGCAAATCTGGGATCATGATAACTCGCCTGAAATCAGACATGGACCAAGGGCCATCGTGGGTGAAATCGGCAAGCAACACCAAAGCATGAGCTTGGAATCAATTCTGATCCCCCCAACAGCAAAGTGTGGCTCGAACGGACGAATCATTGGAACCCGCGGGACCCATTTTTGGGTCTCGAAACCACGAGAAAGGCAACGCTTGAGCAATCTGAGATGGGCTACTTGGGCATTTCAGCATTAAACTAAAATCCAGCCATGTAAAGCCTCACCGGCTCAAAGGCCGTTCTTGGTGCTGAACCATCTTTACAACCCTCAAGCGGGACTTACAAATAACCAAACGCTTCCCGCCCTTCAATAACTAACTTAGAACACATGACGAAGGCTTGAACATGCGCTGGGGCGTTCTCACCTCTCGAAACACCCCTGACCATTGGTTAGAAAACCACGCAAACATGATGTGATACTTCAACCACTAACTTGGACAAGTTACCTGTATACCCTTGGTCATGGCCGGGGGCCATGAATGGAATTCTCATCAAGCGCCTGAGCACGGTTCCTGAGCGGCCTGAAACCCCGTGAAACGATGGATCCGGATGTCCGTCACTGCCAGGCAGGCCGTGGCTTTGCCTGGAGGAGTCGATCTCAGGTGTAAACTCAGATGCCCAGTGGCCATGGAAAAAACAGGATCGGCATCCTTCTTTGGTTGGTTGACTGTAAAGGAATCGGAACCCTTCCCCCAAAAAACAGGAAAACAGGGCACGACTGGGCAACCGGGTAAAGGCCCCAGCCTAAGCGCCAAACCACCCGAGCTGAACTGAGATACTCCGAAAAAAGAACGGCTTCGTCTTCAGCGTAGATCAGCCCCAAAGATCCACAAGCGTTTTGGAGACCCCAGTGAGGTCAGGCCAAACGCGGAGTTCTCTCTTTTCGGGGGCCCTTCAACGGGAAAGAACAAAGGACACCAACGAGTTTGCGACTTCCCCTAGCCTCCCACAGAAGGATTGATAGATATGAGGTCGTGAAATCAGCTTCTGGCTTCTTTAGGTGCAAAGGGGACAAACCACAAACATACCTTTGGCCCTTTGGCTTCTTTTGGGGAACAAACGGGGGTAGCCGGCACACAATTAAGGCCGCCCCGGATGCAACCTGAGGTCCATTCAAAACTAACCCGAAGGGTGTACTGCACCCAAACCGAAGCCACTACAGGGGGGAAGTTTGGTTCCCAAACATATTCACTCACCACAATTTGGTTTGGACCGTAGCGTGATCGATTCAAATGTTCAGCCACTCTTTGTGGGGGCAGGATCCAAGCCATCCAGCGAACTTGCCAGAATCAGCCTTCCAAACAGTAAGCCGGGAAAAATGGGTGAACAAGACCCAATATGGCTCACTGAGGCTGATGTCAATACACGACATCTGGTGCACAGAGCTACAACTCGGAAATCAGGAATCCGCAAGTAAAGGACCTCCATCATGGGTCAGCTCGTTTTACCTGCAGCTTGCCAGAAAGGCACATGGCATGAAGGATGGTAGCCTCCCTTTCCCGCCGACGTGTTGCTTGTCGCGCCTTGGATCGGTTCTCCTTTTCGCCTCAGTCAGGCTTCCGACGGAAGCAAGCCCATATGCACCCAGGTGCGCTTTGGCAAAAAATCGATTGCACTGGTAAAAGTCAAGAATGAACTGAAGCACTGAAGCCAGTGAACTCTATTTTTAACCAACCTGACAAAAAAGAAAGGACACCTGCAGGACATCACCTACATCCTAGCCGTCAGGCCGTGCAAAGCGTTTTCAGTCTCTGGCTGTGAGAAGATGCAGTGTGAGCGCAGCGGGTTTCCCACACCTTGATTGGGGCACGCGTTAGCCTGGGATCTGAAGGCTCGCTGGCTGCGACCAAGTCTCGCATTTCGCGAAGAGCCCGATGTGACCTCGGCGATCGAGTTTGCAGAGTGTCTTTGAGCAAACCCTTTGAACGGATTGCTTCCCAGCCTTGCCCCCTTGTAATTTTTCAGCCAGGGTACATTCAAAAAGAATCCCCCCGTATCTGATGGAATCTCTTTACCAGCTGTTTGAAGTTGCTTCACCATGGTAAATATGCATACCTATGTATATGTATATATATATATGTGTTTGTTTGCATGCTTGTGTGAAAAAGGGGGTACCTACAACGTGCCAAAGCCCACAGCTGAGCTTCCCGGCAGTCCGACCCATCTTTGTTTGCTTGGTTGCGGGACATACCATTTTCTTTTATCCTCCGTCCCACTAACATAGCACCTCACAGGGAGTTGGTTCCTTTAAGAGGAAACTGATCTTCCAGGTACACTCCCGCAGGTGCTATGTTTGTTGGAGGAAGGGTATACCAAAGTGAGATTCAGATCCCCATGCCCCTTTTTCCCACTTTGAAGCGGGGCTCCTTGCTATCACAGCTAGCAGCTGGCCCTAAAAAACACATGTCCGCATTTGCCACTCCAGCGCCTCGATTGCCTTCCCCCTGCCATCGGAATACATGAAGCCCCTACTCACCTCCTCCACAAGCATCAGGAGTTACCAAATGTCTCCTTTTTTACGGCGCGGGCACTTGACCTTTGCCAGCCATATGTCTCACCAAAAAAAAGAAGGGCTCAGGGTCCACCTGCCAGGCATCCAGCATCAGGGAGAGAAACACGCTTCTGGGGGTTGATCATCAGGTTCTTTACATGGAGATGAACGTTGGGGACACACATTGGGATGACCATTTACCCAGGACATTCCCTCTTCCTCATCCGTCACTTGATACTTCCCTTCTGTTCTGAGATAGACGGGACACAAGGCCGTGACAATAGTGGGCATGTCCGTGCACAGGCCACAGGGCCACAGGGCGGGCGGGGGACCGGGCTACAGCCACACAACTAATGGTTTGCAGGGATGGAATTCCTCAACTCGTTCACCCCGAAGATATCTCAAACTGGTTTGTCGAACTCGTTGACTACATTGCTCACCTGCAAGCAGACCCACGCCCGCCAAACAATGGTTCCTTATGTTGGATCCATACTGTAAATCAAAACAAATGCAAAATACATGCCTTCTGTACTGGGATAAGTCAACCTGTTCAAACATGCCAAATAAACATCTGGTTGTTTCTACAGCTCATGTGAGCTGCCGGATCTTCAGGTTTCCCTGAGGTGATTTTCAGGTTTCCCTGTAAAGGTGATTGTGCGTATCAGCTTTTCGCCGATAGGCTTGGAGTTTGTAACCACCCACACTACGCCCCCTGGGCGAATCTTTGGGGCAGACATTTGGGTGGTCAAAATAGGAGACCACAACTGTTGGGCCTCCTTTTCGTTTCCGCTTGAACCAAACCTTTGCTTGGAGTCTCCACCCTTCGAACATGGGGTCATGGCTCCTTGATTTGGGTAGATTCATCTTCCAGACACCCTCCAAATGCTGTGTGAGTGGGAATGGTCATGAGGCTTTCATTTCAAAAAGAGTCCATGACCCCGTGTTTCCGCCCCTTTTTCCAAACATACCTTCTTTTTGGTAACTTCTTGTATTTGTTTGTGCAGCTTTGGTGGAGACTCCCCCGCTAGCCCAACCAAAGCACACACCCAGCTTTCCCATGGGCTCCCGTGCTTGGCCATGCGCTGCACCAGCGCCGGTGCGGGCTGCACGCCCTCCGATCCGAGCCGTGAGTTCTTGGGACACGTGCATGCTCACGTTGTGTGTATATGTGTATGTGTGTATGCATGCACGCACGTGTACGTGCGTGCGTGCGCATGTATGTTATGTATATACATGTGTACAGTACATATATATATATATATGCATATTATAGACTGGTAATTAACTCTCTTCTTGGATGGTTTTCAAGGGAAGCCGCAGGTAAATGACCCATTTCTAGAGGAACACCCACGCATAGCATACTTGCATGGGCTCTGTTCGTTTTCATTCGGATCAGTGCGCAGACCTTTGAGTTTGTGGCCCGGGTTGGCGTCCGGGGGTTGGGGAACCTCACAATTTGGGTACTTCCGGTGGAAGGGCCCACCACTTGTGACATATTGAAACGCACCAGTGCCCATAGTCACGGGTGCAACATCCTCGATCGGGGATGGATCCATCCCTATGGTCACTGCTTGGCGATTCTGTTCCAAAAATATGGAGACGTGGGACCAAGTTGGACCTGGCCTCCCGAAAGCGGAAACTCCGCGCTACGCTATCGCGCTCAGCTTTATTGCCACCAATGGCTTCCTTGACATCCCGGCTTGGCTGTTGGGAGAGATAGAGGTAGAAAGGACACGAGTTCTGTTTTTGTCTCCCTCCGCAAATCTTCCTGGAGATCAGAACGAGAAACACAGCCCTTAGCCAGCTGGATGCTTAGAAGGTCTGCCCAATAAGGTACCTTAACACACAGGAGATCTGACCAGAGCACGCACAGATTCTCAAAAGCGCACTGTGGGAGCATGGCTTTGGCATGCTGAGATCTCTGAAACTGAAGCCAAAGAATGAAACATCAAATGGCGTTAACTTGAATGGGGGACCCGTCCTTCACGACGAGGTTTTCACCCCAACCAATGCCTCCGGGCGGAAGGAGTAGATCTCCTCCTTGCGCTGGCTCCTGACGGAAGATTTTGAAAGGGCGCCAAATCATATTCAATCTCCAGGTTGTCTCATGGAACAACGCCTCTTTCTCAGTGGATTGGCAAACAAGTCCTAGAACTTTCCGCTTACCACCAGAATGGTCCAATTGGGCGCGCCATGGTAAAAACTGTTTGTTGGTTTGTTTCCCTGTACAAGTCCAAGCACGGATCGAGACAGTCGCGCCACTCGCCGAGACATGATCGCAGGGCGTCTGTCTGAATCCAAGAATCTGATATAGCTCAAACTCACTTGCCCAAAAAGACCTGGAGATACAAGGTAACCTTTTGGGACCTTTACTAAAAATGGACCAACATGGGAAAACCAAAAGGTCAAAAGGTCGGCTTTGGGCAAGTGAGCAAAAGGCATTTTCGGAAGCCAAGCTCATTCATGTCTTTCTCACACTAACACAATCTAACACAACCCCGGTAACTACCACTGGCAGCAGGCGCAACTTCCCCTCTTGCGGCTCCTTTGCTGCCTGAAATCTTGGGCTTCGATCGCTTTCCAGGACAATGTAACATATTGACTGGGCTGTCCTCAGATCCCCTGCTAAAAAAATAACTCGTGGCTTAAATGGATACCCAAACCACCTCTCACCAACCGGGAAACAAAACCCAAAAAACCCAAAACAAACAAACAAACAAACAAACAAACAAACAAACAAACAAACAAACAAAACAAACAAACAAACAAACAAACAAACAAACAAACAAACACAGAAACGCCTAAGGACCCGGATGGCCGGCAGCCAAGTTGATGAACCGCCCGCATCCTGGCGTTCCGCAGGGCAGCCTCCCGCGAGCGCCTGGGAACTGGGCTGGAGACGTCTGGCGTTTTTTCATTTTGTTTTATTCCTCTTTCGTTTTTTTTTTTGGAATCCTCTGGTTTGGTTTCCCTTGGGACGCCAAAAGGACAACCGCCACTTTTTGGGCATCCCCTAAATTCAGACACGCCCAGGTGGGGGGGTTGCGTTCCCTGAAACGATGGGAGAAAGGTGCCTGACATCCTTCTGCGCAAATCGTTTCCCTTGCACCCACATTGAAGGGGACAATGTGCTCTTCTTGGACTTCCGCCACCCTTTATTTATAATTGTCGGGTGGCTGTGGGTCAAAACCAATGGGATCCCATTTTGGGGTAGGTGACTTCGCCACCATTTTAGAACCTATTTTAGTGGGGCTTGGGATGTTCGCTGGGGGTACGATTTGGATTTTGACCCATGGCCATGGGATGGCCAACCAAATGCACAACCCCGAACCCTAAGATGGCTTGAACTTGCCTTGGACATCCGAACTCAGGGCAGCTCCCCTAAAAGAGTAGCTTCAGGCAAAACCTGCAAGATGCACATCCAATCGGTTTTGTCGAAAGGACACACCCACTTAATCATCTTGGAGAATTCGGATGGCCGAGGCATAATGCGAAGCTTGGCTACCGAGGGCCATCTGGAAACATCGGCATCCCAATGTGCCAAAGCAAATGAGTACATGATCACGATACAGGGGTGGGGGAGTTTGATGGTATCACAAAACATGGCGCTCCTTAACCACCAGTTTCCACTAACGATCATGGCCACCTGGGTCACAGAGCATCGGCGGGTGGGCACCGGCGAGATTGAAATACTCAGATCGGTGTGCCCGATTCAAGATAGAAACCAGAAACACCATGGCGCTATGAGCAATAGCGACAAAGGGGTTCCCAATAGGGTCCATCCAAAACCGTCCTGGCAATATTGTCCTGTCATATCATTGCATTGCTTGATCCAGGAAACATTCTGAAAGGGACTGCATTGTACCTCCCGATAGAACATTTCTATGGAACATCGCGGTCTAAACCCTAGAAGTTCATTCCCCACGCGTTTCAACTAACTCCCCCGATCGTTGAAAGAAAGGCGGCAGCAGCGGCAATGTGGATGGGTGTCCGAACTTGGACCATCACAGACTCCATTCCCCACAACCTTCCCCCCACAAAATTAGCATGACATGGGCGTGGCTTTGTTTTGGGGACCCCTTTTTGGTTGGGTTTTAACGGGACACCGAAAGGAACACAAAAGCCATTTTGGGGGGTCCAACCTTTAAACAAACACACCCAAACTAGCTTATTGATTATATTTGAGCGCGGATTGAGAACGCTCAGATGGCTTAGGTTTCCTGGACCTTGGGACCGCGCGTGATGCGATCGAGCAAGGTATCCGGCTCCTGTTCAGCACATCTGGCGTCACTTAGTGGATCGGAAGCTGTTCGTTGTGCAACGCACGGGACGCGAAAGGTGCTTCTGGATATGTTTCATGTGTGCACTAACCTGCAAGCCACAGGCCCAAGAGAAACGCACTACAAGTGTCGCAAACCCAGGCTTGATTCGTCTTGCTGGGTCTATTAAGGTGACACCCTCAACATTGCCTCCGTTTCCGGTAGTTTACAGGGAAACCACCCTCAAAAGCAAATTCAAGAGGAAATTGAAGAACCTTGTAAGTTTACGCTGTCAGTTCTTACTGGCAAGCAGTACGCACAGTTTGCCAATGGGCGCTGTAAGTACACGCTAGCGTTTGGTCGGAACACACCCTAAATTTACCTCAGCTTTTGCCCCCAACCCCAAAACTCGTATGAACGATTCTGGTCAAAATGTTGTGAACCTTAAGACGAAAACAACAGTTGCCCCCGAACCGACTCACCCGCCGAATCCGGCAAATTTTTCGGTGGGCTCGCTCGACCCATCTCGCCGGACTCGCGGTCTGGAAGCCAAGTCCCGGAAATGTTTGGAAAAGGCACCCTTTGGCTGGCGCTTCCATTTTTGGAGAGGGAGCTAGTTCCCTCTCCATAAATTTTATAAATGGAAGCACTTCCGGAGGTATGGTTGCTAGGTGCCCATAACTTGTGTCTTTTTCTTGGGGCTCCCGCCACGAGATCAACACGGCCGCCAAGACCGGTCCGCCCCTCCTCCAAGACCCGCAAGCGGCTGCCAATGTTTTGGTAGCCTCAACGAGGCTCGCTGTGGGCAAACGGATGCCAGCAGGTTGAGGGCTTGCTACCAATACGAGCCAGGTATACAGAGGCCCTGAGTCTCACAGGATTCAACGCTCCTAACCCTGCAACCCCCGGAAACTTCAGGGCTAGGGGAGGATCATGTAAATGGACAATTCCACTTCGCACCAGCTGGGATCGATGAAGCCCGATTGGAATACTGGTTGAGAAATCACCCACCAGTAGCGTGCGAAGTGGATTTTTGTCGTCCACTGTATGGCATCCTTTTCGTATCCTGGTACTGCCTTTAAACAAGATAACGCACAGGACAGGCCCTATTTTAACAACCCTGCAAGCAAGGCAAATCAAGGCAACAAAAGAACACCCGGCAAACAAACACAGCACCTTACTGGGGGCTTGCGGTTGAACGTTGGTTCCCTTGCGCTTGTTTAACCAATCCGCCGTACACCTCTCGCACAATCTCCGAGAAGACACTCCATGTTTCGTAACAGGGCGCGGGTCCATGGCGCAATGGTGCAATGGTGCAATGGTGCCACGTCAGAAGCCTCGCCATGTTTGCCCTTGAATCTTTCACCAAACTCCGTCCAAGGCGTCCAAGGCGTCCAAGGCGTCCAAGGTGTTCAAAACCCATGCGAAATACGGACTTTCTGACAACTGACTTTCTGACCATTCAGATGCTTTTGGAGATGCTTTTGGCCGCAGCCGCGGCAAGCGGGAATGCCCAGAATCAGAGAAAAACATTTGAATCCGCTTCTTGGATGCTTCGGTATCTGCCGCGGTGTTGACGCCTTCCCCCACCGCCCCAAACAGACTCCCCGACTTTATACCCCTTTTCAAACACAAGTGGCCAGAAGGGTTTTGGACGATTACCATCCACTTGAAAAGGCCAACGTCCAAGTTGCTCAGCCTTAGACCCCCTCCAAGAAGTTGAGCTGTGCAAACGTGAAAATGAAGAACACCTGAAAGGGCCCTTTAAGTGCAAAAGCTGGGTTGGGCCAACCCCTTGTTTACACGGTCAAGCCATTGTTGGAACCCCTCTTTTCGATATGCCCCAAAAGGGAAGGATGTGTTTGTTTTCACAATCAACGGCCCCAAAGGTCAGCCACTGGCACTTTGTCAGATCGCTTTGCTCGGGTTCTGGGGTTCCCGACTGTTCACTGAGGGCTGGAAGTCGTACCGCCCTGCCTCCTTTCTATCTCTCTCCTGGCGTCACTGAGACGCGTAGACCCCAAAGGAATTCGGATTCTGACCACATGAGCGATTGGGCCGGTTTCTCCGCATTTTCCGGTGGACTCCGCTGCGGAAACCAGCATGAACCTGGCCCACTTGGTCAAAACTGAGCTCCAGTATGTCGAGCCAAGGGCGATGAAGTTTCACACATGCCAAACATTACTCCTCATGTACTGCATGAGTGATGCCAAACAACAAAGCAATGATGTGACATTTCTCATACTCCTTCAATCGATGTATCTTGTGAGCGTTGAGAGGGAATCCGCTACCAGGGTACTGGAGGGCCTAAATCATTTGAATGGCGTGGCGGGTGGCGGGGGGGGGGGGATTAAACCGAATGAGGCCATATGACAATACTCACTTGCCCAAACGAGCTGGAAATAAAAGATTCACCTTTTGGGACCTTTACTAAAAATTGGACCAAAAGAGGGAAACCAAAAGGTTCAAAGGTTGGCTACAGTTGAGAATCATGTGTGTAACTACTTCACCCTAAAAAACTATGGCTTTGTGTCAAGTTGGATTGGATCGGCGCCGAGGGAAAGGGGTTGGTTCCTTGGTTCCTGCTTCTGTACCAATGCACCAGTGCGCAAACCACAAGGGATTGCTTAGAACAGCAAGGGGAAGTCAGTTATTGCTTTGTCAGCCCACATCTAGTGTGATTTTCCACATCTGCCTGCCCATTCCAACCAGTGCTAATGTGCCTCTCAAGATATCATGTAGTGTCATCAGACACATACGCGCTGTCATGCTTGACGTGTCTCTCTGACGGCAATCCAGCCCAAAGGGACCCAACCGACCTGCAAATTCTGCAATACTTCCAAAACCTGAAACCTGAAAATAAGGGATCCCCCCTTCACTTGGTCAATGACCTTCTTTTCTTAAAGGGGAACACCCATTATACTGGTCTGACAAAGGAGGCTAACTTGGGGGAAGGCGTTTGGTAGAAGCTGGCATGCCTTGTTTTTTGGAGGCACCACCCAAACCCCCGGTTGCCGTGGGAAGAAAGGGCACCTTTTGTCGGTAGTTGATTTAAGGGGCCCTCCAAAAGAAGCAAAAAGGGCAGTCAAGGGGCACCAAAGGAAACGACCAACTCTCGAACCATGCTATCATTTTTCATCCATAAACATCGGCCTGGAGAAACCTTTTTTTTGTCCAAAGTAGAGTTTGTCAACCCCTGGAGTTTCCTCTCTGACCCTGGGCCCCACCTCTTTCCGCCGCTTCGCGCGTTCCTCGCGGCGCCTTTGATCCTGAAGGCCAAGAGTGTCTCAGAGTCAGCTGGGCCTCCACTGCTTTTTGCACTTGGGATTTGGAACACGGGAAGTTGCTCGGGCTAACTGCAACCAGTTACAAGGGGTGACCAGCTACATAATTTTGTAACTTAACTTTTAACTGTAACTACTTTTTAGATTGAAGTAAAGTCAAAAGAAACATGGCAACCACCCTTCGCCTTGTTTGCAGTTCATGATAATTCTTAAAGGGAGTCATTTGCAAAATCTTTCAACATGATCACATCTTCGATCAGCACTCATGGACTTCTAAAGACAGAATGTTCATGTTCAAAGTGCGAAGATACATGCGCCAGACGTGCAACCCCCCGCGC